AGAGCTTCTGCTCTGATTTTGTCCGCAACACCCTAACAGACGCGGCAGCCCCCTTGGGCTCTCTGGCGTCCATCCACCCACAACACGCCCTCCTGCTACTGTCTCGTTGCATCAGCCGCAGAGTCGGCTACCTGCTGCGCACTACCCCAGCTGACGTCTTACCGCTCTCGGAATGGCACACATGGTGCGCCAAATTACTGAACACTGCCTTGACTGCCGCCAGCATTCAACCGCCACGCCGACAAGCCGATTTCAACTTCCTTCTCCGACAGGCAACTCTCCCAGTAGCCCTAGGCGGACTGGGCCTTACGGACCCCACAACTGAAGCAACACCGGCCTACCTGGCATCTACAACAGAGGCGCTGCGCCTGCTCCGCTCCCTGGACTTACCGGCAACCGCGCCGTTAGGGGCCGACAGCAACGCCCTGCAGCCGTCTGCAGAGCACTCCGTGACCATCCAGGACATGGAGGGGCGACTGCCACCGCTGGCGCTACAAAACCTACGGGAGGAGCAGCAAACCCCATCCCAGGACCAGCTGCAGCGCGCCCTCTCCCAGGAAGTGCACGTGGCAAAGGCCGACGCCCTAAGAGAGGAGTCACGCGCAATACAGTCAACCCCCGAGAAGGGCCACACACTCCGCCTAGTCAGCCTGAGAGGAGAGGGAGCAGGAGCATGGCTGCAGGCACTACCGTTGACCCCGGACCTCTGCTTCTCACCGGGACAGTTCCGAGCGGCCCTGGCCTTCCGCATGGACATCCGACAGAATGTACCAACCGTGTGCGAGTGCGGAGAACTCGTAGCCGACTGCAGCCTACCCAACCACATACTCCACTGCAGCACAGGCCCCGACAGGACGCGCACACACAACCAGCTGGCCTTCGCCATGGCTAAAATGGCGAGGGAGGCGCAGCTGGTGGTATACCTAGAGAATGCGATGTACTCACCTCCGGATGACCCGAAGAAGGCAGATGTGATTGTACAAGACCCGGACAGCGGAGAGACCTGGATCACAGACACCACGATCACTGACCCTGTGCTACAGAACCGAGACCCTACGGCCCGCAAACCCCCAGGCTGGGCTGCAAGGGAGGCACAGAAGTGGAAGGAGAGGGACTACTACCGACACACTGAACACGTGGTGTTCTGCGCCCTGGCCGTCGAGACCTATGGGGCAAACGCGCTCCCCACGACGGCGTTCCTGAAACTGCTGGCCACAGCAGCAGCTAGGAACCGCTTCAGGGCCAGCCCCTTGGCGAAATCCGCCAAGAAGATGGCCTGCCACTTCAGCCAGCGCTGGTCAGTGGCCCTCCAGCGCTCCCAGGCGAACGCCCTGCACACCAAGGCCAGGGCTGGGATTGAGGCAGCACACCCCCAGATGGCAGCGGACCCCTGGCCGCTGCACCTGGGGGACATCCTCCACACGCTGGAGGGCTAGAGGGTCACTCAGGGGGGAGGGGAGGGGAAGAGGGGAAAGTTGATGGGCTTATGGGATTGAGGTTATCATGGATAGAACTGCATGTCTGTACCCCTGCTGAATTAATACAACGGACCATTTGAGAGAGAGAGAGAGAGTGAGAGAGAGAGAGAGAGAGAGAGAGAGAGAGAGAGAGAGAGAGAGAGAGAGAGAGAGAGAGAGAGAGAGGAAGCTGAGGCACGCTGCAACATCACCGCAGGATTTGGCTGACTGCTTGAAGGTACCGCTGGGTTGCACACAGAAAACAACGTTTATGGGAGTTTCAACTAAATTTACCTGGAAGGACTTGAGCAAGCAAGAGACAAGCTGGCTTATGAGCCCCGAGCTGTTTGACCCTTAAATCGACTCAAAAGCCATACTAAGGGAGCTCTACCTTCTTGAGGGTTTGATGTTGCTTTGCTCGCCCTCACCAACCAAGGGGAGCTTTTACCTTCTTGCCAGCTTACTTTCTTGCCAGCTAACCTTCATGCCAGCTTGCCTTCTTGCTAGCATACCTTCTTGCCAGCTTACCTTCTTGCAAGCTCACCTTCTTGGTAGCTCACCTTCTTGCCAGCTTAACCTTCTTGCCAGCTCACCCCAGCCTACCTTCTTGCCAGCTCATCTTCTTGACAGCTCACCTTCTTGCCAGCTTACCTTCTTGCCTGCTTACCTTCTTGCCAGGTTACCTTCTTGCTAGCTCACCTTCTTGGCAGCAGCGACGGTGACAGCAAAGCCAAATCAAATCAAATCAAATCAAATCTGGCAAAGCCATCCGTGCACTGTAGCACTTCGTTCCATAGCTGTCGCAGGTTGTCCACCTCCTTGCCGCTAACTCGCTTGACCTGGAGGGGCACAATAAAGGGTGGTTGGGACAAATATACAGTGGGGAATATTCTGGAAGATTCTGCACATAATAAAGGCCCTCATGTTATCCACCTCTCGGCCGTTGACTCGCTTGAACTTGAGGCAAATAAAGGTGGTTAGGACTAACACAGATGGGTATACGTGGTGTGGAAGGAAATAGATGGCGATACGAGCATGTCTGAAGCTAGTGAAGGAGACAAGATGGGTTGACAAGGAATCTATGAGGTAGATGCTTTTGAGCCGAGTCACGCACGCCAGAGTTCTCCAGTCAAACATTCCTCTCCCTTTTGGTCAGTCTCCTAGCCTTGAACAGATTTCAAAATGGTCCCTTCATGCCTGACGCTCACTTTTTTACGTTTTTTTAAATTAAATTTATTGAGGTAGTATGTATCCTTGTAGTCTAGATGGTTAGGACATTCGGTATTCGCTCGAAAAATCTGGGTTCAAGTCTCGACAACCAAAGTCGTCGTTTTCTTCGCAGCATGTGTGTTGATGATACACATCCAGCACTTGCAAGCTCCCATGTGATGCTTAGGGCGTGTCTCTTTTTTGCTTTTATGGATTTTGACGGACTGTCTGGTTGTATGTAAACGGACAGTTGCAATAGCGAGTTTCGGACAGTCCGATTCAAAATTTCAAAACATTGGACAGTACGAAGGCAAAAGCATCACTTTCCCGAGTGCATCAGTATTCCAAAGTACTGTAGCATCGCCAGGCATCGTACACTCACGTAACCTCAGTCACACCCCATCGCCAACTTCGCATAGCCAGGCCGCGACTCGATGCCCCCTGAAAGCCAATCGTCAACATTCTACATAGGCTATACCACACCAATTCAGTAAACAACGTCGAGCCACACACACAGAGCACTATCAAAACAGAACGAAAGCAACGCCATGTCTAGGAGGCTGCTCCTATCAATGCTCCACCTGCTTTACAGAGGCTACCACGAGTTCATCATCCGTCCAGCCTTTGAACAGCTCACGGATGTTATTCTACTGCTTGAGGACGATGACCGCAACACGATGCGTCATGACCGTAGGAGCCAGCGGGCACGATGGGATGTCCTTCTCGACTCCTTGCCTCGCCGCATATTCATTGAAACGTTTAGAGTTAATCGGGCGGTGTTTGACTACCTAGTGGAGGCGTGGATAACGCGGAACGGGGACCGTCGTCGTGTAGTGCCCATTGAGACAGTGGTGGCTATGACTCTAGTGTATCTTGGCACGGGTGCCACATTCCGTCAGGTGGGATTGCAATTTGGTGTTGTGCCTCAACACGGATTTGGGCCTGGCGGGAGATGAAAGCGGCGAGGACCTCGCACTCCTCCTCTGGGGTCCAGCGCGGCTGCGTCCTCCCCGTAGATCTGCGTGACGGAGCGGTGGTCTCGCGGGTCGGGGACATCTCCTGCTCAGCGGGCTCCTCCTCAACCTCCCCGAGCGCCGCGGCGTTGTCCATATCTGCGCCTAGTCCGTAGTCGTCGTCGGCGTCGTATGAGGCTGTGGGAGACGGGATGTGGTAGACCCTCCAGTCAACTTGTGCGTTGGTGGTTGTGGTCGGGGTTTGAGCATTGGCGGGAGTGGGATTTTGAATATGAGACTCTTGTGTCTCTGGTGCAGCAGCATCCGGATCAGGTTGGGTAGAGGTAGTAGGGACGGAGGTGTTGGGTGTGGTGTTTGCCGGTCCAGAGTTCTCATTTCCGCTGGACTGCTCCATTGCGTGCTGATTGTGGTGGTTCGGTTCGAAAAGGAATCGTCTTTGTAGTGTAGCAGGGGTAGTGGGGGTGTCTACGGTTCAATGTTCTATTTGGCGCCGCGCGCCCAATATTTTGTTAGACATGCGGCTCGGTGTTTTTTTTTCGTTTTTTCGCGCGCCAATCAGATGTCAGAGATTGAATTCCGTCCGTTTGCTTTTCGAACTGACAAAGGTCCACATTGTGAACCGTTGCTTGGAGGGAAAAGTGATGTGACGTTTCGAACAGTGGGCGAAATCGCGAAGACCATGGCGAAAAAGTTGCGAAATCATGCGAAATAGGTAACCTTTTCGCGAGCCGGACGGTCCACGGTTCGAACCGTCAGCGTAAAAAAAGAGACACGCCCTTAGCAAAACCAACTTACAGCTTCCCATCTTCTCACTCATGTCAGTAGCACAATTTGTTCCAAAAGAAGTGCTCAATATACTCTTTTCGTAACCTTACACCAGTTCAGGCAGCTATTGCATGAGTGAGCCAACACCACCTCCTCTCTCATAATTCTCCATGCTCCAAGTCCCAGGAAAAGGGCCCTGATCATCCCACAACCAGCACCACCTAACCCAGCTCCAAATGCTTTTGTTTCAATCCCTACTTCTCTTCCCTTTCCCCACCCAAAGATCTCCCCAGCTGTAGGTGCCACTGCCAGACGATCCCTTGTCCACCGACCCGTCCTCCCATCCATTCTCTGCTCATGCCATGCCCACGTTCAAGCTGTCCTCATTGAACACGTCCCCTGCTTGAACCTTGCTGTCCTTGGTCTGGTTCAAGACGGCCCTGCTTGAACCCCCCCTCAGCCCAGTTCAAGACGGCCCTGCTAACCCTTTTCTTTTCTGCCCTTGGCCTGGTTCAAGGCATCCCATCTTGAACACTTCGTCGTCCATTGCCTGGTTCAAGACGTCCCAGCTTGATCCCTTCCCCCCTGGCCTGGTTCAAGACGCCCCTGCTTGAACCGTTGCTTCGCCCTTCTCTGCATCACCTTGTTGCAGATCCCAGGAGGAAGCACACGGCACGCGGTAGCGCCTCAGGATCTGAGCGCTTGCCTGGATGGGGGTGGGCGCACAGAGGAAGGAGGAGGTCAGAGAGCGAGAGGGAAGCACATGGCTCGCAGTAGCTCATCTGGAGGGGAAGAGAATGCAGAGGAAGGGAGCGATGGGAGAGAGCGATGGGAGAGAGCATAAAACGAGCATGCAGAGCAGGAGGCAATGGGAGAGAGTGTAAGACAAGAATGCAGAGCACGAGAGAGCGATGATCGTGCAGAGCAAGAGAGAGCGATGATCGTGCGGAACGGGGGAAGGACCAGCCAAGGGTATGCTGCAAGATTTGGGTAACTTCTTAAAGGCCTCATTGCGGTGCGACTTTTGAGAATTCTCAAAAGTCGCACAAACGGCCTCATTGCGGTGCACACAAAAAATGGCGTTTTAAGAGTTTCAACTAGTATTTGGGGGGAGATACTTGAGTGAGAAAGGAACAAGCTGGCTCGGCTTGAAGCAAGCCACTCCTGTTCAGCTCATCCTTACTCACGAGCCCAACGTTGTTCGGCTCGTTCGTACTGAGGGTGCGCTTACCTTCTCGATGGGTAATGACGCTGTTTGGCTCATCCTTAAGGGTGCTCTTACCTTGTTGTCTTGAGAGGTATCAGGCTGTTTGGCTCATCCTTAAGGGTGCTCTTACCTTGTTGTCTTGAGAGGTATCAGGCTGTTTGGCTCATCCTTAAGGGTGCTCTTACCTTGTTGTCTTGAGAGGTATCAGGCTGTTTGGCTCATCCTTAAGGGTGCTCTTACCTTGTTGTCTTGAGAGGTATCAGGCTGTTTGGCTCATCCTTAAGGGTGCTCTTACCTTGTTGTCTTGAGAGGTATCAGGCTGTTTGGCTCATCCTTAAGGGTGCTCTTACCTTGTTGTCTTGAGAGGTATCAGGCTGTTTGGCTCATCCTTAAGGGTGCTCTTACCTTGTTGTCTTGAGAGGTATCAGGCTGTTTCGCTCATCCTTAAGGGTGCTCTTACCTTGTTGTCTTGAGAGGTATCAGGCTGTTTGGCTCATCCTTAAGGGTGCTCTTACCTTGTTGTCTTGAGAGGTATCAGGCTGTTTGGCTGTTTGGCTGTTTGGCTGTTTGGCGCGGCCTCATCAAGCAAGGGGTGCTCTTACCTTCTTGGCAGCAGCTACGCTGACAGCAATCACGCGGTCGTCGTCCAAATCAAATCTGACGAAGCCGTCCGTGCACTGTAGCACTTCGTCGCGTAGCTGCCTCAAGTTCTCCACCTCCTTGCCGTTGACTCGCTTGACCTGGAGGGGCACCACGAAGGGTGGTTGGGACCAACACAGAGGGGAAACATTTTTCCGAGGATTCCCGATAAAGAAGGGAGCTGCTGTTCATCTCCTTGCCGTTGACTCGCTTGACCTGGATGGGCATAACAGAGGGTGGTTGGGCCCAGAATAAAGGGGAAGCACCATTGAGGATTCTTAACAAAAAGGCCTCAAGTTTTCGATCTCTTTGCCGGTCATCTCCTTGCCGGTGACTCTCTTGACCTGCCTGGCCTGGAGGGAACAGACGGCGGTTGACCCGCTTGCCTGACACAAAACGGAATAAGAGCAGATGCTGACTTGGTTGACCTGAGGGAATATGTGCTGGAAAAGGGAATAAAAGGGAGATACGAGCATGAGTGGAACAGCAGCCACTTATGAGGGGGTTGGTAGGTGGGAAGTGAGAGAGGGAACAAATGGGACACACACACATGCACATGCACATGCACCTTCACATGCACATGCACGTGCACCTTCACATGCACATGCACGTGCACGTGCATACTCACACATGGATATGTCATGTGCACGCTTCCCATTATCCCCACATGTGCATGCGAACCATCCACTAATAATCCCTTCCTCCGCCCCTCTCAATGTCACATCGAAACGTCACCTGCCCCATTGGAACCCCTCGCCCCCTCCTCGCCTACAGCTCTCCGGTTCGATTCCGGCCGTCAGCGGTTCCTCATTCAAAATCGACTTCATCTGTCAACACTCACCGCCTGCCATTTCCGTTCCCCCACACCCTGCACACCCTTTCCCCTCACCTGCAGCTCCGCCAGCCGTTCAAAGCCAGAGTTGACCTCATCGGCCAGCACCTGCCGTGGTGAGGGCAGGGGAAATGGGCACGACAGAGTGGGGGGCGAATGGAGATGGTACACATACTGAGAGAGGAAAGGGAAAGCGTGAGTGAGTGGGGGTTGAGTGGGAAGGGGACGACAGAATCACGATCTGCTGGCTGGGCTTGGAGGGGATGACTCACAGTGCCTGCTCGCACACACAAGTACACCCACCATCCCATTCTCTCCCGCCCCCCCCGCCCCCTCCTCCCCCCCTCCCACTCACCCGTGACAGAATCACAATCTGCTGGCTGGGCTTGGAGGGGATGTCTCTCAGCGCGCGCTCGCACAGCCGTCTGGGGCTGCTGTTGAACCAGTCAGGGCCGTACTCGTGCAGGTACGGCTGGGTCAGCGGCACAAACACCAGGCCCGCGAAGATGAAGTAGGAGGGGGAGATGTCAAACTGCTGCGCTGGCACCAGTGCTGGGATCTGGTAGGAGTGGAGTGGGCAGCGGTTGAGAGATGGAGGATGGCAGAGCATGGACGGAAGACGGGCAAGATGTGAAACTGCTGCAATGGAGCCAGAGAGAAAGAAACTGGTACTGAGGGGGCTACGTCCGCAGATACGCGCTTCTTGTATAATACGCAAGCGTAAATACGCTATTCGCTAAATGTCTCTTTTGCAAAAAAAGTGAAAAAAATCGCCGGCTCAGGCAAGGAAAGAGGGAAAAATCTGCTGTAGGGGGGGTGGGGTAGGGGGCCGAGAACGACGTGGGATGCTGAGAGCAACGATTTGTTCCAACCTTGAACTGAAGTGCGCAACATGTGCACACCTTTGGCGATCAAGTCAACCAGTCGCTGACTGGAATGAGAAAATGCTTGAGGATGGGATGGGTGGCTTCAACAACAGTCCTGCTGTTGCCACTAGAAGCTTCGACTAGCGCCCCATTGTTGGACGCCAAGCAAGTGGAGCTAGTTATTGCTTGCAATGCAACTACTAAAGCTAAGGCTACGCTTGTCGAGCATGCACACGCGTGACCTGGTTGTCCAGTGGGGGAGGAACTCTCACAGAGACAGACGCTGTCTGTCTGTCTTTTGAAGGCAAGGCAGCAGTCATGAAGAGCACATACCGGGTTGAGGCGGATGTGGAAGTCCATGGGCTGCCCGTGCCGCAGCACCGACACCCGAGCGGTTTCCCCCACTGGCTTGAGCGACACGAGGTAGTCAAAGGGCAGACGCTCCCTCTTGCGGAACATGACTGGGGAGGGAGAGGTGGGGGGAATGGGGAGAGGGGGCGAGAGGTAAGTTTCTGTAGTTTCAGAGACACAAGGCAGTCACGCTCCCTCTTGCGAAACATGACAGGGGGGCCCGTGGGAGTGGGTTTGGTGTGGGGGTAGGAGGAAGAGGGGGGAGGAAGAAGAGCAGGAAGGAGGAAGAGGGGGGAGGAGGAAGAGTGGGGCACGTGGACACGTCACCATTCCGTAGAGCTGACTTGTGAGTCGATTCAACAAGTGCGTTGTAGCATGGCATTGATTCAGACTAAAAACTCAACAAGCACTCACTTGACCCGTCATTGGCGATGGGAACGCCGTCAAACGCCGTGAGCACATCATCATTCCGCAGCCAGCGGCTGGAGTCGCTCAGCGGCTGCACCGCGTTCACGACCACTCCCGTGGCGCCACGTGGCATCTTGAGGTGCGCCCGCAGCTGCCAGTTCTCGAGCGGCTGGCAGGACACGCCCAGCGAAGCAAAGCCCGGGAAGCGGCGGTGCCCCAGAGATGCGTCTGCTAGGAAACGACGGATGATGGGCACTGGGACGATGTAGCTGGGTGGAGAGGGGAGGGAGGGAGAGGAGGAAAAGGGACGGAGAGGGGGGGAAGGGAGGGGAAAAAGAAGATGGGGAGGAAGCAGCAGCAGAGCGAGAAAGGGCATGACGCAGCAGCCCTGGCAGTTCTCAAGCGGCTGGCACGACACGCCTAGCGAGGCAAAGCTCGGGAAGCGGCGGTGCCCTAGAGATGCGTCTGCTAGGAAACGACGGATGATGGGCACTGGGACGATGTAGCTGGGTGGGGGGGGGAGGGAGGGGGCAGGGAAAGGGAAGAGAGGGATAATAAGCGCTGGGGCGATGTAGCTTCTGGGGGATTGGTGGGGTGGGGGGAAGTGGGGGTGCGTAAGAAGCAGAAATACTAGGAAAGGGGAGAACAGAAAGTGAGAGACGATGGATACTGAGAGGGGGAAAGAACGGGGGAGGGGAAGGTGAGCTTCCTTAGGCCCTTACCATGCTTGCCTGTACTTGCCGTTATACGATAACGTGCTGTATTACATGCTCTATTCAATGAAAGACCATTCCGAGAGAATGAAAAACGATGAATGATGGGCACTGGGACGAAGGGAGAGGTGATGAAAACGACAGATGGAGTCGGGTGGAGGGAATGAGTGAGTGAGAGAAAGGGGCAAAGGGATGTGTAGGGCAGCACGGGCCCTAGGAGCTGCTGAAGGCCGCATGAAAGCCTACAAAGCGTCCCACCTCCCCTCACCTGCACCACCCCTCAGCCACCCTCTCCCTCACTGCAACCACATCAAAGCATGTGCACCCTACAGCCACCGTCACCCCATTCGTTCCATAACCCTACCACCTCATTGCCCCGCCCCATTGCCCCAGCCAATGTTCTCACATGGGATCGCATGCAAGTGAGTGGTTTGCTCCAACAGCCTATCAGCTCGTTTCGTTCAGTAACTCACCCCACCACCCCGCCCGCCTCACCGGATGTCTCCGCCCCCGACAGGTTCTGAAATATCAGCCTTGTCATTCAACACTTCTGCCTGCTGCCTTCCACTCCTGTTAACCACCCTTGATAAATCAGCAACTCACCCGATATTTTCCGCTCCTGACAGGTTCTGGAACGCCAGCCCTGCCACGCGGTATTCCAACTGCTGGGCCCCTTCCGCCCCCCTGCTCCCCCTCACCCCCCCCTCCCCCCACACCCCTCTCCCCATCCCTCCCCCCCCTGCTTCCCCGCCACTCCCCCATCCTCCTTCCACCCCTCCCGCTCCCTCTCCCATCCCCCCTTCGACTCCTTCCCCTCCCGCATCAGGGGCGGCAGGGGCGGGAGGTGCGGCGGCAGCAGGGGCGGCGGCAGGGGCGGCAGGGGCGGCAGGGGCCATGATGAGGGCGGGGCCACCGCTGTTGCCGGGGTTGATGGCAGCGTCGATCTGAATGGCCAGCAGGTGCGCTGCGCTGTGCACGTATTGAGTTGGTTCCACTCTTGAGACGACTCCCATGGTGATGCTGATGTTGTCACCGCCTGACATAGGGGACGGTGGAACGTGTTGAGAGGAAGAGGGAGAGGTGTGGATCTGAATGGCCAGCAGGTGCGCCGCACTGTGCACGTACTGGCTCCACCCGTGACACCACACCCATGGTGATGCTGATGTTGTCACTGCCTGGCACGGGGTGGTGGTGTGGTGGGTGGGAAAGGGAGAGGTGAGCGAGGGAACAGTATGAATGGGCAGCAAAGTGAGCCGCGCTGTGCACCACGCCCATGGTGATGCTGATGCTGTCCCCCCACGAGGGGCCGGGAGGGGTGCGTGGGTGGGCATTGACCTCGTTGACCTCGCTGACCACATTCCCACAGTCACGCACCTTGTGGGTATCCCACCACGGCGATCGACTCCTGCAGAAGCGGCACGTCCCCCAGCTCCAGCGCGCGCATGCCCTCCCAGAACTCCTCGCTGTCCGCGCGCGCATCCCCGCTGCCCCCGCCGTTGATCCCCCCCTCCCCGCTGCCCACGCTCGCGGGGTCCTTCACTGAGAGCAGCGCCAGGTCGCAATCGTGTGCTACAGCTTCTACAGTAGCGAGGAACTTCTTAGGGGATCCGTGCCTTCTAACGAGTACAAACGTGTGGTCCGCGACGACGTGCGCGCTCGTGAGGATGCGCCGTCCCGATACGACGAATCCGGACCCCGTCACCTCGCGCTGCGGCTTGCTCTGCCAGGGAAGCCAGTAGTTAGGGCTGCTCGCGACGGCGAACACTTTAACTACCGAGTCTAACGCCGCCTCGCGATCGTCCGACATGCCGACTACTCCCGGACTATGCTGGTGGTTCCCCGCGTTTCCCGCTACGCCGTCCGCTGCTGCGGTGAAGCTCCTTGCGGCGGGGATGCCGAAGCTGGAGGTACGGACAGGGGAGAAGAGGACCGAGGCTGCCGAACTTCGATAGTTTTGCGGCCTGGTTCGGCATGGGAATGTGCTTTGCGGTTGTGATTGTAGCGGGGGCGCGGGGAAATCGTGCGGGGGGAAGGCGGAAGCGGACGGGGCTAGAATAGAAGGGATGGCGGAAGTCGGGGCGGAAGTGAGACGGGAAGGAGCGTCAGGCGCGCGCGAGGCGGAAGGGGGAATGCAGACGGGTGCGCGCGCGGGAAACGCAGACAGCGGAAGGGAAAGCGGCGGAGAGGGGGAGGGGGAGGCGAGAAGGTGGAGAGGGGCGGAAGGGGAAGTGGCGGAAGGCGCGGAGGCGCAAGAATGGCGGTGAATGGTGCGGAGGAGGAGGTAGGAGAGGCGGTAGGCGGAGGGCAGGCAGGCGGAGACTGTCCGCTCGCGCGCCAATGCCATCGCCATGATGAATCAATGCTGCGGTATTTTATCCCTGGTACAAGATAGCTCGGAACTATTCTAGGCGAGGTGCTCCAATGGGTCGACGAATGGCTAGAACCGAGGTTTCTAACGAGAAGAAACTCACGGAAACGGAATCGAAGGGATTGATCTACAAATGTCGAGAACTCCGTCGAACCCCGCGGCTGTCACTTCTGCTGTCAACTATTGAGATACTTCTCCTGCGGCAGTCACTGCGGTTTTCACTGCTGCTGTTTTGGTTCATCGCGAAGGGTATCGAGCTTGAATATGTTCTTAATCAGACCCAGTCAGTAGAACCCTTCGTTTTAAGAACGCTGCCTGCCCTTGGGCGCTAAGCCCTGCTCAGATCCGCTTGCACCGAGACACACTAAAGAACAGCGCTACCACCGAGAATCCAAGGAACAAGCGGCTTGAGGATCGCGGAGCAATTTATGGACGACTGCGGAGCGGAGCTGAATCCGTTGGTTCTCTCCACTCCGCTCCCTGCTCCTTGCTTTCACGGAGGGATAAGGGCGTGGAAACTTTGCATCCGGTCGCGGAAACCGGTTGCGGAGTTGCACTGCTCAGGGTGGTTCCCGACGTCGCGCAATGTTCGCAAACTCAACTTGCGAAATCTCGAAAGTGGTTTGAGGAATTCGCCACGGAACTGCATCGGGGTCTCGGAAGTTCGGAGTCGGAACACCCTGCATTCTATTTGCCAATGGGTTGCGCATCCCACGTGAAGGCCCAACGAACGATTTCGCAATCCACGTTCCAGAACTGTCTTGGGTTGCGTTACTCGACTCTCGCTGAAACCACAACTCTGCAACTGGTTTTCGCAATCACCTGCAAATGTTTCACGCCCTAAGGACGATATGAAGGTGGTGGGCAATTCGTTTCCTTGCGTGAAATGACCGTTCCCTCCCCCCTGCCTGCCACAACGGCAAACGACGGGTAAATAGAACCGTTTGACTTGGTGAAACTCGAACGCGCTAAGGAGTGGATCAAGAACAGAAAGCGGCACGGTCATACGTTGTGTTATGAATGAGCTAACAAAATGCGCGGAATTAGTGAATAATGAGATTCTACTCAACAGACTTACGATACAACGAAGGTGACGAAACCCCAGCTAGGCCCGGACGTCTGGTAGATAGAGCACGAAAGGGTGGCGAGTGGTGTGAGGGCGACTTGGGAATGGTTTGGGGCGGAAATGTAGGCCGAACTACTTAACACATGATGCTTTAAAGCATGGGTACAGCATAATAGCTTTCAAGTTCAAGATTCTTGAACTTAAAATAGCCAAAAGCAGGGTTACCCTACCTTTTTTAAGAGAACTCTCGCGACTTTGGGACAATGCCTAGTGACAACCTCTCCTGGTTGGCTTTTGTGTTCAGTCGCAAAACTGAGGCGCTACCGTCATCGCCCGGATATAAGACATATATGTCTTATCTCGTACACGGGCAAAAATGCTTGAGTTATCTTGTAAACGGGATGGTTTAGGGTGTCTTATAAGTCTTATAAATGGAAAAAAACATTAAGTTGATTGTAACACTTGCAAAGTGTGTAGAAACCACCCAAGGACCAGATTCATTGAATCAGGCCGACCTCGGTGGTGATGCATGCAGCGCCCACACTTGCCACGTGAGGGAGCTGCCACCGCTGGCAACATTCCTCCGTGCTAACAGCATCTAATGATGCTGTCAGCGTCGTTTTGCTGCCAGCAGCGCAGGGATGCTTCCAAAACGCGCTGGTAGCACGTTGGCAGCGTGAGGTACGAAGAGATGCCTCGTAGAGGAGCGGCTCGGCACCTGTGGATGGGGCACTCTAGCTGGGGGGGGTAGTCGGGCTCTCACTTCATTTCGTGCTCAAGGAGGTTGAATACTCGTCTCAACCTTGCTCTCGGCAGGCTCTCTAACCATGCGCAGCAAAGTACCAGTAGGCAAGTCCTCACCTCGTCCTCACGTGCAGATGAATAACCACGGGCGAATTAACTCGCCTGGCAATGACATCCGTGTAGCCATGGCGAAGAACGCGAGCAAGGCGGGAAGTCCTACCGCCGCCTCCGGTGCGAGCTGTGACGGGGACGATGGAGACGAAGCGAACGCCGACGACGCCGAGGAGGATTGGCCGGAGAACGGCCACGATGACAGCGCTTCAGGGGACGAATTAGGTCCTGCCGACATCGAGGAGGACGACTGGTGGAATCGGCCGGTCGAGAGCGACGACGAGGTGGAAGAGTGGCGGGCTGGTGATTCCGACAACGACCGAGCGCGCTACGCCAGGTGGTTCATGCATGAAGGGATTCACCTGAAGACGAAGAAGGGTGAGTTGGTACTTCATTTACGGTTTTATGCCTGTTCTGTTTCCTGTCCTTGTCATAAACATGCTCCTTCATATCCGTGTCTCTAACATCTCGCTGCCCCGCCCTCTGTCCCACCCGCAGGGAACCTGCGGAGGCCTCCGCACCCCGTGGTGCTGCAGTGGATCGTGGAGGCTTGGGATCAAGTCCCCAAGCAGATCATCATCGACGCGTTCCGCCACTGTGGGATCTCAAGCAAGCTGGACAGAACGGAGAACCACCTGGTGATGTCTCACCTGCGCGCCAGGAGCACCACCGATATCTCCGCGGACATGTCCCTCGGGGGGACCACAGGCGACAACACGCGCCTGCTCGGTCGGGCTCCAGAGGAGGAGGAGGAGGAGGCGATGCAGGCGGAGGGCGTGCGGGAGGTGGCCATGGCAACCGGCCTGGAGGTGCTGTACCAGGAGACCCCCAACTACCGCGGAGCGGTGGCCGAGGCTGACCGCATGATCGAGCCCAGGGAGACGGCTAGGCATGCCTGGCGAGTGCCAGACCTGGGTGTAGAGCCTGTTGTTAGTGCAGGTGAGGAGGCGGTGACTGAGGGGGGTTAGGTAGAAGTAGAGATTTATGACTGTATGCATGTACCCCCGTAAAGTAAGGAAATCTCGTTTTGAAGACACCCCCTGTTTATAAGAAAACCCCTAAACCCTGGTTTTGATTATAAGACATATATGTCTTCTCTCGTACACATAAATAGGTGTCGTATAAAAAGGCTAGCTTGTTTATAAGAGACACCCGTATACTAGACAACCCCTGTCTACTATTTAACACTGTCTTATATCCGGGCGATGACGGTAGTCGTTGAGGTTCGTTGCTCTTTGGTTGAACACCTGGTAGTACTCATAATCGGCCTACTCCCTTGCGTAAGTATAAAGCGCTACCAAGTGCGACAACAGCGAGTTCCCCAAACGGCGTTTTTTATGGCAACCCATGAGGAAAGTAGAACGAGAATGAATGACTAAGGAATGGAAGTGATACAAATATGCAACCCTAGAAATGTGTACCCCACATGGGCTACCCTGTCAGAACATATAGCTTTTGCATATTGTGTAGGCCATAGTGGGGTAGCCCACAAGGGGTACAACCCAATTAGGGTTAGTACTTGTACTCAGTTCATTCATAGTTCATTCATTCTCGTTCTCATTTTCTCATGGTATCGAGCAGGTTCCCCTGTGGGAACTGTGCCTAGGGCCCACCAAATTTCGAATTTTTTTTCCTGCCCGAAGCGCGCTCCGCCCGAGTCGCGCTCTCACCTCGTCGAGCCGCCCTAGCGGCTCCTACGCCCTAGCGGCCCTCCCTACCTTAGCAGCCCCGTCGCCCGTTCGTGCGGCCCCGCCACCTACTAGCGTGGCCCCGCCACCCGCATTCGCGGCCCCGCCGCCCTAGTCGCGACCCCGCCGCCCTAACTGCGGCCTCGCAACCCTACTCCTGCGGCCCCGCCGCCCTACTTCGCGGCCCCGCCGCCCTACGTCGCCGCCCTGCCGCCCTACTCTACGGCCTCGCCGCCCTACTCCTGCGGCCCTGCCGCCCTCCTTCACGGGCCCCGCCGCCCTGTTCAGCGGCCCCGCCGCCCCACTTCGCGGAACCGCCGCCCCACTTCGCGGCCCCGCAGCCCTGCTTCAGCGGCCCCGCCGCCCGTCTGCTGCGGCCCCACCGCCCCACTTCGCGGCCCCGCCGCCCTTCTTCAGCGGCCCCGCCGCCCGTCTGCTGCGGCCCCGCCGCCCCACTTCGCGGCCCCGCCGCCCCACTTCGCGGCCCCGCCGCCCTACTTCAACGGGCCCCGTCGCCCTACTTCAGCGGCCCCGCCGCCCTACGTCTGCGGCCCCGCCGCCCGTCTGCTGCGGCCCCGCCGCCCTACACCTGCGGCCCCGCCGCCCTACTTCAAGGGCCCCGTCGCCCTACTTCACCGGCCCCACCGCCCTACGTCAACGGGCCCCGCCGCCCGTCTGCTGCGGCCCCGCCGCTCTCCTCTCCTGCAGCAGCGCGCCCGAGCCGCCGACCGCCGCGCCGCCCTGTACCAGAGGAGCCGAGCCGCCCTGCCGCCGAGCCGCCCGGTCGCCCACCAGCCGAGCCACCCAGCAGCCGAGCCGCCCCGCAGCCG